TATCTCGACCTCGGTCATATGGAGCACACGAAGCCATGCGAGATAATTTCCAATGGCAAATACTTCTCTTTCTACTTGCCACATCATGCGGTCATCAAACCAGATAAGGAGACCACCAAAGTTCGCGTGGTATTCAACGCCTCAAAAACATCTGGTTCAGGAAAATCCCTGAATGACGTGTTGCACACTGGTCCCACACTCCAGCCAGATCTCATGCTGCTCATTCTGCAGTGGCGAATGCACAGATTCGTGTTCAATGGCGACATTGAAAAAATGTATCGTCAAATACTCATCCATGAGGACGATAAAGACTTTCAGCGAATCTTATTTCGCATATCGGCTGACTCTCCTGTCACCGATTATAATCTTAAAACCGTAACGTTCGGGGTTAATTGTGCACCATACCTCGCTATCCGTACCCTGCATCAATTAGCAGATGATACGATAGCGACATTTCCCTTGGCTGCCACAATACTTAAAACCGAAACGTATGTGGATGACATCCTATCCGGAAGTCATGATATTGACAACGCCACTGAATCACTTCTTCAAGTGATCAAAGCGCTTAAGTCAGCTGGTTTCATACTCAAGAAACTAACGGCCAATCATCCGTCCATTTTAGAAAAATTTCCAAAGGAGGATCTTCTCGACTCCAACTTTTTGAAATTTGAGAGCGCTTCCACAACCAAAACTCTTGGTATACAATGGAACGCACTCACAGATAAATTTTCATACACCATTCTGCCTACATCGACATCGAATGCCGTCACAAAGCGACAAATTTTATCAACTGTCGCAAAACTTTTTGACCCGGCAGGATGGCTATCGCCAGTGATGATTCAAGCAAAGATTCTTCTTCAAGAACTTTGGCTAGATGGCGTTGATTGGGACGAATGTGCCAAACCTATACCCTTAGCAAAATGGCAGCAGTTCGCAGAAAATCTGCCAGCCATTAGCTACATCGAAATTCCTCGATGGGTTAATTTCACTCCGGGGCAAGATACCCAAATCCACGGGTTTTGCAAAAAGCAAAGTCGCACCATTGAAGACGGTAAGCTTGCCACGCCTGGAGCTGTGTGGTGCAGTCTTGCTCGCAAAACTGGTCGCAACTGTTCGAAAACAGCTCAAATTAGAATCGTGGAACTTATTATTATGGTCAGATTCAGAGATTGTGCTAGCTTGGCTTGAAAAGCCACCATGTACATGGAAGACATATGTATCCAATCGTACCTCCCAAATCCGGGAATATCTT